CACTCTGGTAAGTTGTGTTGGGAGCCAGATCACTGCTGCCCTGTTGTTACTTGCAGTGAGGGCCTTTTCCTTTATGGAGGGAGAGCCCTGCTAAGCATCCAGGATGCAGCTGCTTTCTCCTTGTGCTTTTTGTCTTGCCTTCGCTGTCAGGCAGGTTCTGGGGGTGGAGGAGAGGATGAATGTCTCTGGGGCCCTTTTCCAGGAGCTGTTGCTGCTCCTGGGCTGTTTCCCTGGCAGCCTGGCACACATTCTGCCTGTGGGGCTGTTTCAGTGTGCGCTTGTGTCCCTGCCCAGGGCTTCCGCTACAAGATGCGCTCGGTGTACGCTCACTTCCCCATCAACGTGGTGATCCAGGAGAACGGCTCGCTGGTGGAGATCCGCAACTTCCTGGGGGAGAAGTACATCCGCAGAGTGAGGATGAGGCCAGGTGAGCCTCTCTGCAGGTGGATCCTGCTGCTTCTAGCTAGGCTTTCCAAGCTGCTTGCTTTGGGCTCTGCCACTGAGAAGGAAAGAGGATGAATAATTGTTGGAGCAGCCTGTGCTTGTCTGAATTGATGTAATCTTCTTATGATACCATTGCCACTGTTCACGTTTATTATTAATAATGCCTCTGTAGTTTTACTAGTGAGAGTTAGCTAACAACCAGTCTGGAGTTAGTTACTGTAGTACAAGAGATGTAGTACAAGGATTTACTTCAATCGCTGGGAGATCTTAACACTGTTGATACCTGGCAGCTGCTTAGTGTTAGATTTGCATTTCTGTTTTAAAACACTGCACAGGAACTGGTTTCATACCACATTGTAGTTTTGGTCTTTAGGGTGTTCTAGTTTGAATTATCTAGGAACATTCACAATAAACTTAAAAATTATCATCTTATTAGCTGTTTTTACATCTTGCACACTTGGAGTTTCAGTAAAATGTCTAACAGAAAAGCAGGCACTTGATGGACCTCGCTAAACTTCTGAAAGGAGGCAACAAAACGTCATAAACAGAGTTACACAAAGACTGTAGGAAAGACATCCCTTAGCCATTTGGTTTTTTCTAATTCCATTTCTGGCGAGGGTATGGGTAAGGACATTTGATGTGACTGATGATGTTTTGGGGTGACTGTAGAGGAATGCATCAGAACTTGTCCCAAAACACTGGTAGATAACAGTGCAGCAGAGTTACAGGGTTTTTGATTTACTGTGGGTTATTAAGGGTGGGTATGGTTATTGTATTTGGTTTTTTTTAAAGTCCGCATTTACTGTTAGTAATAGGCTGGCTTAAAATCTGGTATCTGTTGATTAAGTAGATGAAACTGAAAACGTATGTTGCTCCCCTTAAAAATTCAAGTTTCCTGTCAGATTCTTGAATGCCATCGTGTTTACTCCTTGTGAGTATTTGCACCATTGCCAGTGTCAACACAGTGCATGACATGACAGGGGGCAGGTGGTTTTTAATGGCCTTGATTGTTCTGCGATTGCTGACTCCAGTGTTGCCTTAATGAGCACGAGCCTGTGGGAGATGGCACACCGTGCTGGCAAAGTGCTGGCTTGTACACAGTGTTGGTGATTGATGCTCTAATGTAATAAGGGGTAAGCAGGAGTATAACTTTATTCACTCCAGAGCATGACTTGCACTAATCTTTAATTGAAATTGTGAGGGAGGACAGCCCTGGAATGGATTTGAGGGACTCTCTTTAACAAAGTCATAGAAGCTAATTACTGTTGTGAATACTAGTATCTAGATATGTAAATTGGGACAGGACATTAATATTGTTTCTTTAATACACTTAACACCTTTAACAGTGTGGATTATGTGTTTGCCTTTCCATAGGTGTTACCTGTGCAGTATCTCAGGCCCAGAAAGATGAGCTGATCCTTGAAGGGAATGACATTGAGCTGGTCTCCAATTCAGGTTTGTGAAAGTAGATGTGTGTAAAATTGTATGGAAACTTTTATCTGAAGATGGCAGCTTAGCAAACTCTTTACCTCAAACCCTGAGGTAAACAACAGCACAGATTTTCTTTTTGCTCTAGTCATTGTAATTGCTTTTCATAGTTCCTTACTCTTTCTAAGCTTAAAGGTGTTTTTATAATTCTGCAGAACCTTCTTCAGGTCAGCACTTACGGCCTTTTTGGCACCAAACTTTTCAGCTTTTCAGTTGTACATGTGTGCAGTAATGAAGTGCCACTGCCCTGAGTTGGGCTCAGTGAAATGCATCCTATTTTCATTAGACCTTAGAGGATTTAAAGTTGGTAATTCCTGTCTCTAGGTGACAGTCCTGTTTGTTAGATGAAATACTGGAGCATAAACAAAGGCTGCATGTTGGGTTCGACCTTTAGGCTTTGTGCTAATGGTCTCACTTTGTCTGCAGCTGCTTTGATCCAGCAAGCCACCACAGTCAAGAACAAAGATATCAGGAAATTCTTGGATGGTATCTACGTTTCTGAGAAGGGAACAGTGCAGCAGGCAGATGAGTAAAACTCACAGGTTGGTATCATCTTAATACACTGTGTACATCTTCTGTGTAGAGATGGGGACTTGACAAGCTTTATCTATTTCAACATGGCCATGGTTAAACAGGTTCCCAATAGGGATGAAATTTTGTTTGTAAAACATGTCGTAAGATGCATCATAAAACTTGAGTTTTGGGAGGTCTTTCAACAGCAGTTTTCCATCTTTCATCAATTTGGCATTTTGCTGCTGTATGGAGAAAACTTGCCTCTGCAGTGCTGTACTCTGCATTGTGAATGCAAGCTGCAGTGCTAGCTTAGAATTTAAAAACAGCAGTCCTGGCCTAATAGACTGATTTACAGAGAAGATCTCAAACTCATGTTCCTGCTGGTTGGACACTGCCCTCACTAAAGTGGTGGACAGGGCCCAGTTTATCTGTAAAGGCCTTCTGAGCAGTTAGTAGGTAAATGCTGGTAAACAGGTCAGTTTAACAAGGACAACTATTTACATTGTCCATGGGCATTGTTACTGAAGTGGAGTATGAGCATTTGGGGATAATTTAGGAATTGTAACTGCTAAAGGAATTTGATTCATTCAGCTGTGTGTAGTTCCTTACACAGTACAAAACATCTGTGCAGGATGAGACAGTCTGACTTGCAATAAATTCTGTGCTGTGTGCCTAAGCTTGAGGCAGGATGTAGATGAAGTGAGTTTCATAAACCCTTTTTTAATCAATCATCCTCCAGATACCAAGCATTTGCAAGCCTCTGAAAAAATAACTTTTAGTATTGTTCCAAGTGTCTTGAGAGAGGGAGCAACTTACTGCATTTGTTGAGCAGTTGAGCTGTTGTGCTTGAAGGCATCTTTAACTAATCTTGTCTGTGTAAAATCAAATTCTTTAAACTATTAATATCTGTCTTGCATTAAAATCATCAGATTAATAAACATCAAAGGGTTATAAACGTTCAGTTTCACATTTGCACTGCTAAACTCTTTCTAAAAGCTCTCTATGTTTTATTTACAGCTGTCTGGACCCCCAGCGATATTTACCGTGAGACATTGTCCAGCTATTCCAGCTGGTACAAGGTGATGATACCCTTGGAGGCTTACTAGAATAAACTATATTTCCTATCTTGAGTTTGTTTGGGTTTTTTTTAAGAACTAAATGGTGATTGCATGAACCTGATGGCTTATAGAGAAGCAGATTGCACAGTGGGTCCCCCCTGCCAATGTGTTTTCAAACCATGGGACTTCATTCAGACGGAATGAATGTGCTCAGAGACTGGTAGGGGCAATGTGTAGGCTGTGCTACCATGATCTTTCTGTGACAAAGTCATGAAGTGGCATTTTTGAATCACAGCATTAAGAAATAATAAAAGCATTTTTCTCACAGGTGAGACCAGTGTTCTTTCACATCTTTTCTCAAGCCTCAGACTTTTGGTGACAGAATCTGAAGTAGATGAAAAACAACTGAAATCAGTAGAACAAGATTTGTAAGACCATTTAAACTAAATACATAGATAGAAGCAATTGTCTGAAAATACAATGCTTTATTTTTATTGCTCACTTAAGAAAACAAGGGACTTGACCTCAAAGCTCAATCAGAGTGTATTGTTGAGTTTCACCAGCAGTGATTTGTTATCTGGGGATACATCTTGGTTTCTTCACTGCTAATCTTGCTATGTAGCAACATCTAACTGGGTGGTTGTACTATTTCTGTGCAGTAGTAAAATCCACATTGTCACTTGGTCCATTCAGTTTGGAAAAAGTATATAAAATACTGGGATAGTGCAGAAACATACTTGGCGACAAGTTGCTAAAGCATCCCACATGTTAAAAAATTCCAAAAACTGCCCAAAGATCCACTTGTATAATGACAAGTGCAATTTACAATTATCACTCTATTGAGTGGGTTAATAGTTCCTATTTATTTAGATGTTCTCTGCTAGTAAAAATTTTATGGCTGCCCCATTTTGGAGATGAAAAATAGTGATTGCATATGGTTTTGTCTTCAGTTACATTTGCTTAAAACTACTTCACCCAATCTGTAAGGGCCATCTCTTGGTCAATAATGGAGTTAAGTTGGTTTTGTTCTTTTGGGGTATCTTCAGAAACTGGCCTGGTGCGTTTCATTCCTGGTGTTGTACTTGGTTGAAGGTTTGTGGGGTTTAATAACACTTCTAAACCCTAACAGCTTCAGTTTCATGCTGAACAACACTCATAACATGAATACACATCACAAGACGTAGAAAGGTGCCTATCAGTTCTCAAAAGTTGCTCTTTGCAAGTAAAGCTGTTTTAAAGGTTATTCCAAGGCACAGGAGGGTCATAATTTTTTTTTTAACAGATGAAGTTGTCTTATAGGTAGAGTAGGTGGATAAAAGTAGTTTCACCAGAAACAAGTGCTGTGGCTCTTCCTGTGGATGTGATTACTTTGTTTTTGAATGAAATGCTGGTGTGTGTGGCTGGAGTGACTCAGTGTTTTTCCACAGTTGTCTGAGTGGTATTGTCCACTGTAGAATGCAGTGATGGATCTCACTGAAAGTGGGCTTGTGCCCCCTTCTAAAATGCGACACAGATGCATTTGATGCTTTTTGCCTTAAAACGTTTCCTTCTCTTTCTTTTGTGAAAAAAAATAATAGCTAAAAGCAAACTGAGGGTAGAGAAGAGGCAGCAGGCAAAGAATATTAATGGCTTCTTCTGAGAAACAAACAAGCAGAAGCTACACTGCTTTTCGTGGCTAGAGGGGCCACAGACTGAGTGGTCAGCAGGGAAGCCATTGTTGCTTATCAGGCTGTTGTAAAATCTTACTGAAGGCTTTTCTTTTGAATCTGAAGTGAAGAATCCAAATCTGGGCTTAGATTTTTCTTCACTCAGCTTAAACGCATAGTAGCCTTTAATCTTGACTTTGTCAATGTAGTAGGCTGAGAAGGAAAAGAAACCAAAACAAAGTGTTAATAAAAGCTTACATTTCCAGTAAGACCTGCATACTTTCTGGTAAGATTTGAGATTTCAAATTGTTAGAAATTTGAAAAGTGTACTTCATAAAATATTTTCTGCTTTTAATACTCAGTTGTCTCAATTACATAGGAACAGTGCATTACTGTTTTAAAAAGTCCTTAAAATTTTGGACCTACCCCATGAAAACTGGATTTGTACAGGGTTGGAGCTGGGAGTTTGTTCTGTTCTGGGAAAAGCTAGATGCTGCTCTTAACTGGAGCCAGCTGCAATGACTTGGGAGCAGCTGCCCATAAGTGCCATGAGAGCAGCTTTCCAAGAATTCCTGCCCTGCTCCAAGCTCAGCTGCTCATCCCTCAGCATGCATGGCTCTGTGTTACACTGCTGCACCCAAGTGCTGGGTGAGAATACTTAAGAATAGCAGGCCTTGAAGTCATGTGCAATCAGTGAGCATAGTTGGGAATGTGACCCAGACTAAGAACATGTAAACATTTAATAACTTAATTCCTTTAGTACTGTATTGTTTTGTTTGCAGTATGAAATTAGCATGGAAAATAAATCAGTAAATGCTCATAATCATCACTACATTAGTCCTGTAGTAACTAAGAAGGCTAAGCACTGGAGAGAGAACACTTTTTTCTTGGTGTCTAAAAGTAATCTTAAGGCATGCTTAGCCATGAGTAAGATTTGTCTCATTTTTATTAACTCCTCGAGAGGAGAAACCAGGATCCCTAGACTGTGATGTCAGTTACCTCAGAAAAGCTTTTGAACCCCCCATGTCCTGATCAGGATCTGTCTAATGCTCACCAGTAGGGAACAGTGAGGGCAGGGATGTATTGCACATCTCATTTTGCCTGTATGGGTCAGGAACCAAGGCCTTGCTGGTAGCCTGTGTCCCACTGCTTTTCTTTAATGATTGGTTGGGGGAAGAGGGAGGGGAGGGGTGAGGTCCCTGCAGCATTTCTCATACAATAAGCTACTGCTGAAGATCATTGCCTTGAATGGTTTTGTCCTCTACCTCCATAACTTATACTAGTTTTTCTCTAAAGTGAACAAGTAGATTTCCATATGTGCCCAGGAGAAAACAAGGAGTGGAACAAGAACCAGAGTTGGACTCTCCCTTCAACAGCAGCTGGTGCTGCTGGTGCCCTGCTGTATTTCTTCTGTATGTCCCCCTAGGTTGCTGTGGATTTGCTTGCACTTTCCTGTCCAATGACTAGTTCAGCAAGCAAGGAGGCTCTGCCTTTCTTTGGGGAGTAGAAACTTTATTTCTTGGGAGTTGTTGGGCTGAAGTGCCACTTCCTAATAATTTCTGAGTAACTACTCTGCTGTATGTGCATGCCCAGAGAGCTTCTCTCATGGTTTAAACTGGAGGCAGCTGTAGCTGCATTTTGTGCAAGGCACTTGATGCCATTCCTTTGTGTCATAGCTGCCCTGAGTGTGGCTGCAGAGTTGGGCCCCTCAGGGGGCTCAGTGCCACTGGCTCCTGCATCTGAGCCAGGACTGCTCGCTCTGTCCAGGGTGAGACTTAGCTGTGCCTGGCTCTGAGCCATGGAAATGGCCCTGGGGAACTTGAATCTGTCATGTACTCACCTTTTAAAACCTCTTGTATGTATTTGTCCAAGTAATAATTCCGAAGCTCATCATTGTCCAAGGACGGGTCATCTATTCCATTTGCTGTGATATAAATGTCAATGTCACCGTAAGTTTTTTTGATCCACCTGAGAACTTTGCGCATTCCCCAGGGCACCACTGCCAGACGAGAAGGGGAGCTCAGGCAGGTGATATCCTGCAGAAATTGAATGTCACAATCAAATTCATGCTGGCTTCCATTCTGAGGCTCATCAATCACAAATCTGGTGGTGAAATGATTCAGTGCATAAAAGTCAGCCGCACCTTTGACAAGCTGCTTTTCCTCACTTGTGAAAGATGGCAACAAAGTATATGAAAGGCCTTTTCTGTTTTTAAAGGTGATGTATTCCCTCATGGTAGCTGGATAGTCCCCAGTCTTAAATATGGGATTGGCAAACCAGCCTATTTCAAACTGAAGAAACCTGTTGGCAGCTTTTGAGTGAGATTCAAAGAAGGGGTTGGCAGGCTCAGCCCAGTCGGAATGCAGGGACAGGGACACTTTGCCGTACTGAGAGGGCCGGTACCGCTCGTCGTACGTTCTCCAGGCCATGGCGTGTGCTAGTAACAAATTGTGTGCTGCCCGATAGGTGTCATTGCTGCTCCTCTTGTAGACATTGCTTAGCTGGTTTGGCTCGTTTATTGTAATCCACAGTTTAACCAAATCACCAAGCTCCCTAAAGCACAAAGCTGCGTACTCTTGAAAAGCGTGGGCCGTGGATTGGTTCAACCATCCTCCTGTCTGCAGCAAAGGACCCGGCAGGCCCAGGTAGGTGTGAGTTGGATAATACAAGGTGACCATGGACTGAATGTTCAGTTTCAGAGCTTCACTAATCACACATCTGTAATACCTAAGAACTTGCCTGTTGACCACTGACAAATCTCCGTTGGGTAAAATTAGTGACCAGTCAAGTGCAAATCTGTAATGGGTGACTTTCATTTTTTCTAGGAGATCCAGTTGCTTTTTAATACTGACAAAATCTGTGCACTGTGCTGGTCGGGTTTTTAGCTTTACCCCTTCAACTTTGTGCAGAAGCCCATCTCCTGTGACATTCCAGAGGTACAAGCTGGAATCACAGAACTGTGGTGAGGAAGCTGCTGATTCTGCCTGTGAAAATAAAAATATGTTACAATGGGTTTTAATTTAATGAACGTAATATCTGCTTGTAATTTGCATTTCTGCCTGTGTTTAGCTGTCGATTAGTGGTGGATGTCAGAAGGCCCGGCTTAAATGCTCCAGGGGAAAGAGAATAACCAACTCACCTATATGGGCTATGTGCTAGTGGCCATCTTATCATTTCTTTCCCTATGAAAAACATCAAAATTGCACTTTTTTCAATTACACACGGGCATTTGTCCTGCCACCAGCCTACATGACATGTTTTCACAGAGATGGCTCTCCCTGATCAAGTTCACTCTGGTCATGCACACAGCAGTTCTCAGCCAGCTGCCTGGAGAGCAGCTGGTGAGAACAAGCACCAGAGGCAGGCACGGATTATTTTGGCACTGCTGCTGTGCTCAACCTTGTGAAATTGAGGCATACTTATCTGACACGAACAGCTTGTAGCATTTAGTTATATCTTTTCTATTTCCTATAGTTAAAAAAGTTCAGAATAAAACATTTTTTTAATATTCCAATTTTTAAATGCTTTTTCTAAGTTTCAAAGTAAAGTTTAAAATATTTAGATTGCTTTTTTTTCAAAGGATATGTTGTATTTTTTTGTGCTGCATATTAACAAGATATATACAAGCTTAACTTTTTCTTCCCCTACGGTTGTCAGTCAATAGGTTAAATTATGGGATTTTGTTGTTATCTTTTGAAGCTGATATTTGTCATGCAACTGTCGGTGTGCAATGACAAGAAGGGTATCCCAACACTATCCATATATACAGTTAGCTTATTTACTAAGTTTGAAGCAGAAATAGATGACAAATAAAGTATAAATAGGTCCTGTGGGAGCCGGTTTGGACAAAAGGTTGTATGACCTGTTTTCTAATGTGAGCTCAGATGGTAAAACCTCAGGGCTGGTTATATTCACCTGTGCTATGTATCTTTTTAAAGAATGGCTTCTTACCCACTTGTCTGAGTGGCACTCAGAGCCAGGCCTAACCCAGGAATGTGTTTCTGCTGTAGACAAGACCTGGAGCCTGCAGATCTGTCTGCTGCCACCAGCATAATCACCTTGTCCCTGCCCTTTGTCACTCTCTCCATCAGACCTTCACAAGCATCCCTATGGCCACACTGCAAACTGGATTTTGAAACTCCTGGTTGAAAAATAACCCAATAACAATTGGTTGGATCAACTTCTTGGTTTGAATTTCCTCATCTGATCTGCCACATGGAGACACAAGCAGAGGGAGGGCCACGCTTGGAAGGGCTCCTGCAGCAGGGCCTGCTGCTGCAGCAGTAGCCAGCACTCTGTGCCCAGCTCACCTGAAAACCTGGAAACACAGGAAATTGGACCAATGCAATTATGACTTAACTTCTGTTGGCAGTGTGCATTGGAATTCTGGAATGCAAGGTGCTGTGTATGGTCATTTGTTCAGGGAGCTGCTGGTCACTCTGTTGCCAGCGATCCGCTTAATATTTTATGCTTACCTTGAGAACAGACTCGGTGATACCCCAGGAGAAGTCACAGGAGAACTGAGCTTGCAAGTTTGGGGTGGAATCCTTTGGGAAGAAGCCATTTTCTTGTATGATTTGTTTATAATAAAGTGCAGATGACTTGGGAATCCTTTCCCTTTTTTTGCTTTTGAAATCTACATAAAATAATCCACGCCTGATGTTGTAAGCATGCTGCCATTCAAAGCCATCAAGGAGGGACCAGGCTGTGTAACCAAACACATCTATGTTGTCATATTTAATAGCTGCAAAAGAGAAGGTAACATCCATGAGTCCTGTATTCATTACTCTAACATATATAAGGGATATTTATGAGAAAGGGCTATTGATTTTGAAAATCTTGTGTGTCTTCTCAATGTTTGTATTGACCCACTGTAATTCCTTGCAAAACTGATGTATATATCTTAGTCTTTATTTACTAAAAAAAAAGGTGTCACTAAGAAATTAAGGTGTCCTTAAGAAATTAAATTACTGTAGGATTTTTTAATTCTGCTCTGACCAAACAAGAAATATTATACCACATCCATGTTTGAAGTTGCATTTGACAATTTGCCAGTACAATAATACCAGTAAATTAGAGAATCATGAGTCAAAATAAAGGGAGCAACAGTTGATCTGGTTTGTAACTTTGTCATGAAGCTAAAACTCCCCACCTTTATTTGAAATATGTCTGCAAGCTCATGGGAATGTCTACTCAGCTTGTAAATTGAAAAATTTATTTTGCTGGCATGGGACTGTTAATGACTTTAGAGAAGTAGGGTAGAGCAACTCAGAGACTGATTTAGTTACAAAATGGCTGCAGTGCATGCTGATTTCTTCAGGCAATCTTAATGTCCTTCTTGCAACAGAATTTACATATGATCTTTTACAAGTAATATATGAGAAGGATGACAACACAACTGCTTTCTCAGATGTGGACCCTGACTCTTCAGGAAGGGCAGCAGGGCCTGCAGAGCAGCTGCTCAGCAGACACCACCTAACCACAATGCTTTTCACCCCTGCAGGCTCGTGCCAGCTGGCAGCCTGCAAGGAAAAGTCCAAACTCCATGGTCAGTCATGTTCACTGCCTGTCACCACCTTAAAGCTAGGAAATAACACTGGATAACTCCTCATGTTAACCTTATAAGGGCTGGAATGACCTAGGGAAAGCAGTGACCAAGTAGGGTTTGTCCAGCCTACCTGAGGATTTTGACACAGACAGGTGGACAAGTCATATTTTAGCACATGTAGTCCACCACACCAGTAAGCCAAGGAATAAAGGTTAAGTTTTCTGGTTTATTCTTTCCCAATATCATTTAGCTCCATTTTCTCTGGACATATAATTTTGCATCATTCTGTATTTCCACTGAACTTCCTTGCCCTAGTCACACCAGGCTGCAAAGAAAGCAGTTTTGCACAGTGCATGTATTGATGCAGCAGAGTTCCAAGGTACTCAGCAGCACAGGCTGGATGTTTTTCTAGTTGCCAGATGAAATCAGAAAGCCCAAGAGCTTTCAATGTGAGTGTATGGGAAGCTGATAGACAAGAGCAGAATACTGGAAAGGAGATGAGGAAATGTAACAAAGCAATACAGTGGCAAGTATATTTGAAGAAGGCAACTTCTAAATTAGAGAAATCATGGGAGAAAGTACAAAAATGTCTGAAAATACCCATTGCAAAATGCAGAGGCAGAGAATGATGTAGAGGATAAAGAGATAAGCTAGAATGGCCTGGCAAGTAAAGATGAGTACTTGATGTCTGCACTGAGGAAGGTTGAACAAATGGGAGCAGACATCTAATGGGAGCAAGTGACAACTGAGAACACTTTTGTTTGTAGAAACATATTGAATATATGGGGGTAAGTTTAATTGTCAGAGCAAAAGATGATGTGGCACTTGAGATGGTGCATGCTGAGAATTTGTGGCTGTTTAAATGGGTAGGGGCAAAATTATTATTTTATGTATGCTTTATGTAAAGAAAATTTAAAGTTAGGCAGGTGACAGGTAGAGATCTGGTGGATCAGAGTGAGAGTATGTTTGTAGCATTGTCTGCAGGGACAGTGAAAGGAAAAGGCAGAAACAGGTCAGGATCCTGACTGTTAGAGTGAGGATGAGAAAAGCACCCTGAAAAATAAGGGGAAGGTCTGGGGCAGAAACAAAGGGCTGAAGGTAGGAAAAGTCAGGAGTTAACTTAGCTCCCTATGTCAGCAGGGGTGACATTCACAGAAGATCTCAAGGCTTTTCTGTACCTACTATAGGTGGAATCTTAGAGTCCTGCAGGAGTAATAGTTTCAGTATGGAAGCCCTAACCCTAACCAAGCCTAACCCAATGCAGATGTTGGACTTTAGCTTTCTGGGACAGGGACTATGGGTTTTTCTGTTTGTACAACACCTAGCACCAGTAGATCCTGATCCATGACTTGTACTCATGCAGTATAAATAATTAATGATTAACTTTGTTGCCACTATCTCATTTAAAAAAAAGGACTAAATTATTACAGAGCTAAATATCAAAAAATCAAAAGTGCTCTCTGAAAAATCCAACAAGTAATTTCTGTACAAACCTTGTAAAACCTTATTAATGAAGTTTTTCATCATGTAGATGGCTGTGGTGTCATCTGTTTTCACGTGGCTGTCAGTGAACCAGCCATTCTCTGCAATCAAGATTCGAGGACTGTTGTATTCCAGTTTAATCCAGTTCAGTACTTCCCTCAAATTGAGTGACAAATTTTGTCCCATTTTTAGTAGAGTGTTTGGAGGTTTAAAGTTACTAGGACCGAAGGAAAATGCAAAGAAGTCAGCTGTTCCCTTGATGTAGTTTTTTTCATCTTCGGTAAAGTGTGGCAGAAATAAGAATTCATTTTTCAGTTCTTCTGGATAATCCCCATCCCCATGGATGGGTTTAGCAAACCATCCAAGTACTCTCTCCATGGACTTCTGACATTTAGAAATGTCCAACTCATCTTCCAATTTGTTAGGCTCAATCCAGTGGGATCCCAGCACTATGGATATCATCCCCTTCTGGTAGGGTTCAAAGTGTTCTTTGTAGGTATGCCAAACTTTTGCATGAGCCTGATGAGAGAAAAATAGCATTAAATTGTAACTCTAACAAGTCTCTCTGGGTTGGCAGCCAGAGAGGCAGGTAGCTCCATCTGAGTCACTGCAGGCTTCTATGGAAGCATCAGTTAAGGCACATGAATTACCCTGCACAGTTTAATGGGCAATCACTGTCACCCTGCAAGGCTCCTTGGGAAGAGGGCAATGCTCAGTAACTCGTGTCCTATGACACCTTAGGGCTGTGGCTTTTTTGCCTTTCAACACATGTCTAAATTTCAGGGGAGATCCCAGCAAGGATGAGAAGAGCTGCTGTTACACAGACACTTGGGAACAGCTCTAACAAGGGGATTTGAACTCTGGGATCTAGCCAGTCTTTCTCTGTCAAACGGTGATTCCTGATATGGTTAAAATTTCAAACCATCTTTACAATTATTCCATCAAAGATGCATCTCATATGATATTTCATTTGTCAGTGGTGACTCTGTGCTACTAACTGCTCGGTGCTCTGAGGGTTACCTGGACTTACTCTGATCAAACCACATCCACCCCATCCCTCTTCTTGGGATTTAGTTGTTTTATTTTGGCCTAGTCATATGAGCAAGTGTTCAAGCTTTGATATTTGCACAATCCTTAAATGTAAAAACTTGGGCAAAGGACCCAGCTGTGACGTTTGAACCCAAATGTCAACTTTCACAGCTCTGAGTGAGAATTTTGTTCAGGATTTTAGTTAATTTCTTCTTTGAAATGGCCACTGAACTGTATCACATCTTAATACTGCTTTTATTATTTTCATAATGTTTTAGTAAGTGTGTTGTTATTACATGTCACAATAGCTTCAAATAAGGGTATACAGCAGACAAAGCTTACACAAAACCAGAAATACATGGGAGGCTGAGGAGCCACTGGCATTGTCAAAGCCCTATAAGGAAACAGGACAGGCTGGTCAGAGAGGAGTGACCCTGGACTGCAGCGTGAATCACATCAGGTGATGTGACACAGGGGAGGGGAGCTGGCTCTCCCAGCTGAAGAGTTGACAAGTAACTCAGAGTTTACCTCATGCCTGGAGTGTGGCATTACACTCTTAAGCTGGAAAGAAAATAATAGTTTGCACCCAGAGAAAAACATTGTGAAACACTGAGTGCTGACTTAGATTGTCATCATTTCTAAGCCAAACAGCATTGCTTGCCTTTGACAATAATTTCTGTTAATTTATCTAGAAACACACAGCCTTGACAGTTTAAAAAAAAAACTCCAGAAGGCCTGATGTCAGGTAGGTATTTGTTTAAGCTGGGGGATACCAAAGAATCGGAGTTTGTGAAATTTTGTGTGTCAGTTGTTTATGGTTTCTAAGGTCATGCTCGTAACATTTGTTCAAAGTCTGTCTTTGAAAATACTGATAAAGTGACACTAACCTTTGAAATGCAGCTTCTGTAGCTGAAGAGGGAAGACAGCAAAAATGGACACTTGAGGCAAATTGCAAGGTAGAACTAAAGTATTATAAAATTGATTTCTTAGTAACCTCATCAGAAAATTTAAGTGGCCAGTGCCATCTCCTCAGCTGCCCTCACTGTCCTCTCCTGAAAGTTCCTCCAGCCTGGGAGGCTGCTGGGCCAGGCTCACTCTGTGCTCTGCCCCGAGGGTTTTCTCACCTGGTTTGCAGAGTTTTTCTGCAGACACAGCCCACAGACACCACTGTTGAATTAGAGGCATAGGGCTGCACTGGCTTAACAAGAAACCCGCCCTGCACTCAGCTGTCTGATGCACAGTGCCAAGTACCATGACAATAGCACCAGGTAAATCATTGCAATCACACTTTTCTAGGTGAAGTGGAGAAAAATTGCCAAACCCCCAGCTAATCAGAATATGATATTGACATGTAAAAGCCAAGAATCTCTCATTGTATTCATACACATCTTCAGGAGGTGATTAGAAGAAAAGAAAGCTCCTATTAAAAAGAATGTGTATGGTAGAGGATACAGACTCAGGTAAAACTCTAGAGGAGTGGACCTCAATTATAAATAGGTACATTTAATATGAGTCAAGATAAAATCCTCATATACAAATTTGTATGTGTCACTGGTGACTGAATTCTGAGGATTAACTCTTACTGTAGAAAACTTCTCACAATCTACAGTAAGGGTTTTACAGACATAGTAGACACATAGTTGCCTACAAATCTGATTTGAGTTGTTAATTATCTGTAAAGAAGCTTAACATTCACAGATAGAAATGCAAACTATTGTTGATGGAATCAGCTGATTTATAGAAATTGTTTTTTAAGACCAGATATGAAACAAACATCAATTTAAAAGCTGTATCATACATCAAATTGGGTATTTTCAGTAAATCTTGACTAATCTTTTTTCAGTTAGAGTTTAATCCCTAATCTTTCACTTTCCTTGTTAGAGCAAGGACAAATGTCAAGGCTAAATACACAGTTAAAGTAGGATCAATATTGGGTATTTATTCTAGATACGTATGACTCATTAATTTCAGCATATTTTCCTGGTATAAATGTAGAAAATATTCCCTAGTCTTGAAAGTCACAGAGAGTGCTATGTCAGTTAGTACTAACCCTGTAAAAGGCTAGAAAAGTCAACTTAATAAACTGAAGACAGCAGTATTTGTTCTTCTCTATTTTTGAAACATTCTCATACTCCTTGAAATTCTGATCCTATAATTTAACATATGCACATGCAAAGAGCTTTCAGTAGAACAATACTTTCAAATCCTTAAGATACTTTAGTCAAGCAATTTTTCTTTGAACAGCAATGAATATTACAAAACAATGTCAGGGGTATATGGAGTTATTTTAGTCTGCTGGAAATCAAGAACATTTAGGAAAATTAGAACTGAAAAATGATAATAAAATTATTGGGCCTTTTGTTTACTTGTTTGGTGTTTAAACCATGAAGAACTAGAATATAGTCTGATGATGATGATGTTATAGTTCAGAAGAAGGGCAGGGCTGTGTGGCTTATTTGGAAAGTGTATTTCTGTTAAAAGTTTTTTTTGGTCTGTGGTAAAGATGCCCCATAGTCAGTAGAGGTATATTAGACCTAAACCCTTTCTTTTGAAAACTGACTCTCAATCCTTGTGAAGGATTACCTACACCTCAAGGTGCAGGTGACTGCACTTCTTTAGAGGGTGTTATAAAGGACTGAGGCTTTGCTATCATAATTTGTTGTATGTTAACTGTCCTGCATTTGGATACTCTTTTCCCTAATGATTACCAAGAAATCTAAGAAAGCTAACCTAAAAATAACAAATAATCAGAAAACTATGAATCAATGCTGAATTTTATATCATCACTGATGGCTACAACTATTTGAAAAATCTTCCAGCAAAGATATTTACAAGCACAGAGGATTCTGGTGTCCACCCTAGAGCCATATCTCTCAAGAGAGATTTATGTAAGAGAATCCCTTAGCAATTTACAATTAATAAGCATCAAAGTTCAGATTCCCTATTAATTTGTGTAGAGGTAGTATTGAGTCCTTTGAAATGGTCAGTGGCAATGATTACCCTCTGTGTATGAACAGAAAACATAGTAACATGCAAATTAGTTTTTTAAATTGAAATTTTTTAAAACTCACATTTGAAATTCTTCTTCTGAATTATTTTCCCAATGTGGATCTCCTAAGCACCCTGCTTATCAGCCTCTGATCCTGCATTCACTACCTCTCTTTACAGATCTTGAATAGCAAGGCCCATAAAAAGGCAGGGCTGTCTCTCAGTAGATGTGTCTGGGGCATTGAGGTGATTCAGCATCAGCAATGCCTTGTGCCAGCCAACACACAGAGCTCTGGGGCTGGATGAAGACAGACCACCCCTACTTTTGTAGGAAAGCCCTAATATGATCATTATCTGCCTAGTTACTTACATGAATTCATTCATGGAAGCAGATAATTTTTAATCAGTTCTAAAATGTATCTCATTATGGAGATGATCCTTGAGGCCCTCTTCCAACCTGGTATTCTATGAACTTTTTGATATACCAGTCAATTATTTGGGTTTTAAGACACTATATTGCTTTTGAAAGCAATAAAATTGATGAGTTTAAAACTAAGAGGAATTTCTCCAGGCCTTTTCAAGGTACACAAAAGCTGAGGTTTGTGGTTTGTTATATTGTTTTTGTGATTCCATTAAACTTGGCTTCAGGTTATGATTGATTTATCACAAAAAAGCACTCCTTTATATAAACAGTGATTAATTCTGATAACACCATGACTGCAACCATACACAAGGAAATTAAACTAAAAGTAGGATTCATGCAAGAGCTTCATTTAATTTCTCCAAAGATACTACAAAAAGGTTTGAGAATGATTTTCAGCAAATTGCTGTGCAACAGTGTGGTGGCTAGATTAGCCTCATTTCAGCATTACAGACCTGTTTTTCCTGCTCTGTATATTTAATGGATGGACCTGGTTTGTGCACAGGGTGGCATTGAGGACCAGGTCTGTCAACACCCTGTCCAAAAATGAAGCCTTGACATGGACAAGAGTGTGGTTCTTCCTAAAGCTGATGACATAAATGGCAATCTTTTCAAGAGCTTTAACAGGCTTTGCCTCACACTGCCAAAACCTGACATTTGGTTGATCTTTTATTTTTGGGATAATGGTTTTCATTTGCAGTGGGAAATTAGAATGTAGCCATAATACAATGCCTGAGAAACAGACCAGTATATATTGGTCATGAAATAAAAACCCATGTGAAATCTCTTTAAAGGGAGAATCTTGTAATTTTTCTTGATTCTCAAAGGAGAGATATTTCACAACACATGAATCCTGATTGTGCCTCAATACATTCTATTAATACTGTATTGTCAACAATGCAAAATGAACCAGACATTTAAACTTGCACAAAAATCTCTGAGAAAGATTCTGGCTAGTTGGCTTTGAATATCCAGTACCAGATGTGATTTCTGTGGAATGGCTGGCTGGCATTACAGTTTATCAAGAGAAATAAATTATTATGTCTAGAGACAAGAAGAGTTGACTGATATCGACTGGTAACTCAAGAGTTTCCATTCCATCCCTAACCCTAACCAGAAAACTCCAGTTCCTCAAATACTTTACAACAAATTTGAGATTTTTCATTGATCTCAAATCTAGAATCTTCAGAAATTTTACAGTAGTATAGGAGAGAACTGCTAATACTTTAGATAATGCTCATGGAGTTGTAAGAAGGGTACACAGGAGAATAATTTTTGCCCATGGATAATAAAATGGTAGCTAAAGGATTATGTGCTGCTGAAAGTCTCCTTAACTCTTCCATCCAAGTGATTTATTTTATACTCTAGATCAAGAAGCAACTATCAAATCAAGTCTTGGAGACAAATAATATTGAACAAGAAAATTAGGTCAGTAATTTGTGTATCAGACCCAGCTGTGCTTGTCTTCCTGGAAAATCCAATTGATTCTTTGGCAGAGGAATAACATTCCCTGTGTGTGGTGTGCTGCTTACATGGATTTTACAGAAAGTGCAGAGACTGCCTAGTTGGTACTCCACATTTGATTGTGACACTCAGAAATGAAGGCAAGAAATATTGCAAATTTATATATATTTTACATGCATTATATAAAATAGCACTTGAAAATAGAAAGAATAATTTGGCATCAGTTTTCTTTGAGATGCTTCACAAGTCTTTATAGTTAAATCATTCTTCTGCCAAGTCTGAAATCAGTTAGTGACTCAGGATGCTTGACAACCTTTCTGTGTGTAAAACTTCTATTGACTGCAGTGTGACTTTTTTGAAAAATGATGTTCTGAACGTTCAAGGCCAGAGGTAAATACAAAAATTTGTCAGTTGCAGAATATTTTCACTACTCTGGCAAATAATTTTTTCCCCACATGTATACTTCTTTCTGTAGGATTAGCCCATTCAGATTTATTTGTTAATTACATGTGTGATGTATGCCAAGTTGTAGAAAAATGTTCTTTGTGGACAGTTAAGAATAGTCTCAGCAGAGGGAATTATATTGGCTGCAGAGATGGGATAGAGACCAGCTCTGTAAAGTACTGTGAGCACGGCAGATGCAAAAAACACTGTACATCATGGAAATAATTTGAAACTCTCAAGTACTGAAGAGAACATTTGTTTTCTTCCAAACCCAAGACATGCCAACCTTGCTAGTTTAGAAGCAAAAATTTTGCAATATGATCTTACTAAGCTAGAACAAATCACACTGACATATACATACTCTATGGCCAGTAAAGTTGATTCAATATGCAAATACAAATGAACTTCCTTTTAAACTAATAGAATAATAATTTCAGGATGGCCAAATGTGTTTAACTAAATGTAAAGAACAGAGAATGCTCTTTAAGAGTTAGAATTTGTATGTAAAAACTAATTTAAATAAAATAATAAACAAGCACTTTAAAATAAATAATTATTGAGTCAGCTGTTGTGACAAGAAATAAGATCAAAATGAGGGCTAATAGAAAGACTGCCTTAGCTAAAGGTTATTTGTTGGTGCTTTCACAGTAGGTGATTTTTTAAAGAAACACTGATCACAGGACCAATTCCTCTTATTATTTCCCGGAGCAGTGCAAGATCAGTTTGTAAAATCTTATTATACTGTACCTTGATCAAATTGTGTCCTACTGAGTAGACAGTTCTTATTTTCCCTCTCTCTCCTGGAGCATGAATACCTGTGCCATACCCATGCCAAGCAACTAAATATGGATTGTGGATTGTAATCCAATATTTAACACGATCCCCAAAGGTCTGGAAGCAAAACGTGGCATAGTCATTGAAGATATCAATCACAGATTCATTTTTCCATCCCCCGAATTTTTCTTGCAGCATCAGGGGCAGGTCCCAGTGGTACAGTGTAACCACGGGGGCGATGTTCCTGTAGAGTAAGGAGTCAATAAGGGTGTTATAATACTGAAGTCCTTTTTCATTGGGAGCTGCCACCACTCCAGTGGGGAAGAGCCTTGACCATGAAATTGAAAACTGGTAAAAAGTAACTCCCAAAAACTGCAGAGCAGACAGATCTTTGTCCAACAGGGCATAGCTGTCACTGGAGGTGCCTGCACTGTCAGCGTCCCTGAGCTCCGAGCGGCTGAAGCGGTCCCAGATGGACGAGCCCTTCCCGTCCTTCCTCCAGCTGCCTTCCACCTGGAATGCTCCTGTCCCTACCCCCCAGAGAAAATCTTTGGGGAAAGTGTCATATAAAAACATCTGTGTTTCGCTCACGGGGCTGAAGTGGGAGTCCTTTCTCCACACGGATCTTCCCTCTCCAGCAAGCCCAGTAACAATCCTTACGAAAGCGAACGTCCAAAAAGCAACAATCTTCTCCAGTCGCTGGCCACACATTGTGCCAGTTTATAGTGCCAGTGTTAAAAATCAGATTTCTTGTACTGATGCTGAAAAAATTCCATTCTTTTGCTGGAGTCCATGCCGTGCAGACCGTTTTCATTTGTCACAAGCTGCTGGAGTGTCTTATCAAAGCTTCACTAAAAGCTGGTGATTGTAAAAGCCCTGTCAATGATTAGCCTGAACTGTGAGACGTAGAACAGATCTGAGAATGGTGTAATTTATAGGGAGGTGGCCTCTGTATGACCACTGAGACACCTACCTGGCTTCTTACTGCAGCCTGCCTCAACAACAGAAATGCCAGGAACTAATTCATCATCATTTAAAGGTCAGTCATTCTGGTGGGATAATACAGGTGACAGAGGGTCTAAGAAGCTGTCACATCCTTTATTTCTTGTGGAGCTGTATTTCAAGGAAACATTAATACAATTCACACTACATAATCACCAATTTAAAGGAGATTTATCCTATCTGTGTAACTGGATGGCTGGAAGGGCAGTGCATGATTCCTCAGTCCCACCCTGCTCAAAAAACCCACCTCTACTTAAAAACTCTTCCTGGACTTGTGGGAAATTTTGTTGTGAACAAGAGACATACATACATCCAACTAACTATATAAAAACACAAAGCAAGTCAATATTTCTTTCAAACACCAAATGCAACCATTTTTCTATACTATATAAAAGTCTCCTGTACAGCACTATACACAGCAGCAGTACAAAATCAACAGGGGACTGCTCCAGTTCTTACACAATTTTCCTGGATTTCTTCAAATAAACACAATTAGCAAAGATAATTAGCCCTGAAAAATTATATTTCAGTATTGATTATTTTAACAATTCATATACACAGCTGGAGCATCAGTAGAGCAAATATTTATACAGCAATTTTGCAGTATAATTTAATCTTTTAACATGTTTAGCAACAGTATGTATGTAGAGATACAGTCAATTTACTCAGCACAGTAGGACGGATGCCTGTAATTTTTGTTTTTTCTTGAGGTACAGTAATATAAAGTGTAATAATAATAGTAATAGTCATATAGTAATCGATATATAGTAATAGACACTGTGTGACCACAGCTGCAGAAGAGCCCTGAGGAACAACACAGAAGTATGAAGTAGCTTTGCATGTAAGAAAGATACACACTGAAATCTGAGCATGGGGACAATTAATCAGTGGAGCAGAGCACTCTGCCCAGATGAATCAGCCCTGCTGCCATGTGGGCCATGAGAGTCCAGATTCACTGCTGGGCTACTGCTGCTTTAGTGCTCCTGCTCCCTGTGAGAGCATGCTCTCAGCACTGCAGAATGCCACTGACATACACCTTTAATTTATCAGTAAAGCTGATTAATGAATACAAATGGAAGCCAGTTCATTTATTTTTAGGATAAACAACAAAACATCCACGCTTGTAAGCATTTCTCTGCAGAGTCTTTACCAGAAACATTTTCACCACAGATGAAGGAAAAGCTCCCACTGACATGTTCTGCACTCCAGGTCCCTGGTGGTGGGGTAGCCAGGCATCTAAAATGAGCCTTTCCTCTTACCAGCAGTAACTGATCTACATTTCTCAGCCAAGATCCTACCACACACAGGCAGCTTGGAAACAAGAGGATCAGACAGGGACTGTACAAAATTGGCTTACAGTGCATACTGAAATGTTTATCTTTTGTTCTATGGAACAGCATTTAAAATGCTGTTTCATAGCTACTGCATCAACATCATCTTTCTATTGTGACCTTTAAAAGCATTGATTTTATGCATCCTGCTCCATGAAAGAAAACCCAGATACAAGTTGTTATCAATGGCACTACACTTCTAAAGCAGCTAGTCACCATCATTACCAGATGCTTGAGCTCCAGGTATCCACAACAGCTCTGTAACCCCATGGGCAATCTGTGGGCAAGGGAAAGACAACAGGCTTCTCCCCACTAACCACAGCAGTGTTAGCACCACTGGCACAAGGGTGCTGACAGTGTGGTGCACCTGCCTGAGATGTGCAAGGTGCAGCAGAGACTGGTGCTCTCAGGTGCTTGGTCTGTATAAGGTTATGAACTGTACTTCTTTTCTTATTATTGACATGACTGGGGGCACGCTCTAATCATGGTTTGAAATTGTTTCAATGTTTCAAGCCTCTGTGAATCTAGTTTCTTACTGCTTGGTCATATTTAACTGTTTGGGATGTAATTTAACTTCATGAAGTTAAAAAAGGAAGCAGCTTAAGTGATGAGAATCATCTAGTGACTTGAATTTGGATGAAGGATTTCATTATCTGAGCAAAGACTTGGGGAAAGGAAATACTGTGACTGTTGTTAATTTGGAAAGCAATCAGCACAGAAGAGTGGGATGTGATCGGGGGTCTTGGGAAGCGAGGGTGTGAAAGAAGGGGAAGAGAATTAATGATTCCACTGGCCCAAGTGGCAAAGTCAGGCCAGGCTCCAATCCTGATGCTGTATGATGCTGCACAGTGGGATTTCCCGCCTCTGTCCACACACCAAACCCATCTGGGTTCAGAATGAATCAAGACTGGGAGAAGCTGAAATCTCCAGGGCACTTGCTGATACAGACTCAGTAGTTAGGAAGCCTAATGATTATTCAGTTCAATTCTTACTTATCAGTTTTCCTTTTATTCTTTGCCTTCACCAGGGCATCTGATTCAAATGAAGAAAATAATTTTTCACTTGACTCTTGAATATGTACTCTCCTTGTTTCAGGGGTTGGCTTGAAAATCTGGTGTTTGATCTACAGAAATGCTGAACACATTAGTTGAAAGGATAGAGTTTTGAATGTTAGACTGAGTATCTGAGTTGACACATTCATTCTGCCTAGATATGTAAATGAAGAAAAAGACCTAAAGACAAAGTTCACGCAGAAGAAGTGTAATGTTTACATTAACATCAGCTGCTCAGATCTACTACTGTTGGGTGCTCAAAGAAGCACAGCTTATGAAATCCCCTGCAAATCCCTTATCTTTACCTTATATAGCAAAAACTGTTTGACATGGGATCAAGTCTTTCTAAAGACACATCATTGAGATGGATACTATAGAAAGCCTAATGCAAATAGAAACTACACCACAGTTTTATGAAGAATTTTTGGAATTTTTCGTCTCTAACAAAATGCTAATTTCTGTTTCTACAATGCCTGAACAATTTTATTTTCTTTACTAGAGAGTCTAGTAAGAAAAATATTCCTTACTCCCTTTAAAAGTTTGTTTCAATTCCAAGAGTATCAACATAGCAATATACAAGAATGTGGAAATAAACAAGATATTAACAAAAAAGAAAACAGACTTTTTAATTTCTCAATAGAAGAAAATATAATTTTCTTATTAAGAATCTCCTCTCTCAATAAGCAAGACAAAGCCTTCACTAATAATAACAGTAGGGCTGGGCTTATTATATGGGGGAAAAACCTCAAGTTCAAGATTTAATATCTCACTTTTTAAAATTTCTTTTGGAAAAAACACCCCAACACAAAAAGGCAAATTTGTCTGTGAGTTTCAGTAAGGTAGAAAACAACACTAATTTTGCAAAAATTACTTGTCATCGTTGTAAACAGAGTGGTGATATCAAGTGTACTTTACCTACTTTTAAAAAGCTGTAATTTTAGTTGGGTAATAGGCCTTTAAAACACTACCCAGGATCAATTATAGACTCAAGGGATTTTGCCTTGATTTTAACTTGCAAAGCACATCATAATACATAATTATGAGTATTCAGTTTTCTTTCCTGTGGTGGAGCAAATTTTTTTCCACTTCCACCAGTTCCATAGGCATGTCCATAGGAACAGAGGTATCCTGTGTCTCCCCACCACAGCCAGGAGTGAATGGCAGGCATCCCAGGTGTCCAGGCTGATGTCTCCATAAAGGATTAAACTCTTGCCTCCCAAGAAACATGAAGATGTCACAAACCCACAAACAGATACTCCTCTGCTGGATGTTACTCCAGGTAGCTTTATCAACCACAAACAGAGATAACCACCTGCAATAACTCTTTGAGCATTATTTGAACAGTTTGGCTCTCACAAACATCAGCCATTTAAAGTGATCTTTAGTTCTGGTATCGGGAATAGGCACAGCTTTCAAAGTTACATAATGAGAATTAAATATGTAAATACAAACTTATCACTGGAGATGTTTTTCTAAAGCAATATTGGTTTTGTTTGCATAGCCATTATGTTGAGTGCATATGGAATAACCGGCAAAGCAGGCCAAAAAGCACAGCCTGTGCTGTGGGTCTGTTTACTCACTCACTGCGCTCCTCATGCAGAAACCCAAATTCACAAGCTATGTTAATGCTGAAAATACCTGATCCCACCTAACCATGTGTGTTCATAAAGGAACGACAGCAATTTCTGTATAAACAGGATCTCACAGTTACTATAAATCCAATTTCAAGAATGAAACAGGAATGGTAATAGGTATCACTAACAGATGTGTGGAATGAGACCATGCCACCAAGCAGGCAGTGAACACAGAGGGAACACAACTGACAGAATGAGACAGCTACCAATTGAGCTTGTACTCTGGTTAGTTTTTTTTTTTTTCTTTGATGAAGGGTCTCCCAAATCACTGGCAGTATTTGTAATGTCACAAATTCAGTTTGTCTTCCCTATTCTTCTCCAAGCCCAACAATTATTAGTAATTCAGTAGGTTGACAGAAACTAAACATCGGACAGTATTTCAGAGGAGTTGTTTTTATTTGGCGTGAACAAATCTATCCAGCGTTTAGCAAGTGTGTTCAGCAAAAGAAAATATAGAAGATTCCATTAAAAATTAATTAGAAAATTAAGCAGTCAGTAGAAGAAACACAACGTTAATCAATTCCTTGGTTTCTCTTGGACTCCTATATTCTGAGCTCTCCCCAGCCTCAGCGCACGGGAGCACACACCTTAGAGGAAGCAGGCGCTCCGCCAGCCCGGCAGCAGGGGACTGTCACACGTTTATGACCAGTTTATGACCAGGACAGGCCCCTCAGAGCTGCACCGGCCCGGCC